AACCCACATATGAAACAATTCACGGACAGGGTTGGCCAGATTTAACCTTAACAACAGCGGCCTTTGCATCAAAATTACATTCCTGGATGGTTGATGATACCCCGTGTAACTCGGACCATAAATACATTACGTACAGCATAGGACACCATAATAAAAATTCTCAATCAAGAGGTACAAACTCAAGCGAAGGACGCTAAAGCTCTTCAGCCAAAAGGCCCGCAGTACACTCACACGTGCAGAACAAGATTTAGAACACTGTCACAATACAGATGATGTTGATAACTTCACTAGTATTCTAATTAAAGAGCTTCAGGCCATTTGTGATTCTACTTTCCAGATAAAATCTCCAAAGGTACACTATGTTGCCAACTGGTGGACTAAAAGCCTCAGGATACAAAGGAGTAAGACCCGAGCTCTTCGCAGAAAGATGAAGTCGGAGCATAAATCAGAACGCCGAGAAGAACTAAGTATTATCTACAAAAAAGCACAAGCCCAGTATAAAAAGGCCATTCTAGAAGCCAAGCTTGTACAGCTGGAGGGCGTTTTGCACAAACAATAAAAATCCCTATGGGGTATTGCATAAAATCGCAACGAATAAGGTCTTTGCCCCTCCAATTCACAAGGTCTACGTAGACGGCACCAATAATCCGCAACCGACAGAGGAGCACAGGAGCACTATTGCGGCCAACACTCACCAAGATTCTTGATGCAGTCTTTCAAGACGACAATACATTGGACGTTTCCAATCCAGAACATCCAGCTTATCTTCTACACTCCACAACAGAAGATGACGTGTCATTCACGCAGCCTGAAGTCTGCGCTGTTTTGCGAAATCTACCGAGAAACAAAGCCCCAGGGCCCGATTCGTTAGACTACAACATTGTCAAGGCGATGCATCAGGCAAAACCAACGTTTCTTAAAAATTTTTACAATAAATTGCTCCAACTGTGTTATTTTCCCAAGCCCTTTAAGACAGGGCAAGTTATTCTTTCCCAAAAGAAAGAAAAGGACCCGAACGATCCAGGCCTCATTCCGGCCCATCTGTCTCCTGCCCGCCATAGGGAAAATTTATGAGAAACTTTTAGTTCAGAGAATAAAGCACTACTTGGAGATTAAGGGTGAGATCACGGACTCTCAGTATGGTTTTCGAGAGCAGCGCGCTCAACTATCCAAGCTCTTAGTGCCATACAAAAGGGAATCTATGACGCGTATGACTCTAACAACCATGTAGCCGTACTCAGTCTGGATCTGAAAAGTGCGTTCGATTCCCTGTGGTGGCCAGCAATCCTGGAAGCACTTCACGACGCTCAGATCCTTGATAATCTACTGCAGGCGTGCAAAAGTTATCTCTCTGATCGCACTCTTGTAGCAGTGCATGACGGAGGAGTTGTTGAGAGAAAGCAGACCAAGGGTTGCCCTCAGGGTTCATGTGCAGGTCCTGAACTATGGAATGCAACTTTTAATTCCATTCTCAAAGCACTGTGGCCAACCCACACAAAGGTGATTGCTTTTGCTGATGATGAGACATTTATCATCAGAGGCAAATCGAGAGACCAGCTGGAAAGTAACAGTAATGAGACCATAGCAAAATTTGTACGGCTCTGTGAAGGCAAGAAACTCACCATCTCGGAGCAAAAGTCAAAGTATTTGATCGTACAGAAACGAGGTCAAACTCTTGCAAGAAATCCAGTTTTGAAACTAAAGGGCCGTACAATCAAACGAACTCGGGAACTAAAACTGCTGGGGCTTATAATCGATGAAAAGCTCTCCTGGCTGCCTCATCTCAGAGCAGTCCGCGCGAGGACACACGCAATTGAAAATACCTTAAAGAGGCTTCAAGGCTCAGACTGGGGTCTTAGACCACATATCCTAAAAATCCTCTATCAGTCCGTCGTGGAAAAAATGGCCCTTTATGGAGCGGCAATCTGGGCAACTCCAATGAACGAAAGGAAAAGGAAATTGCTCAGTAGTATACAACGCCCCTTGGCTCTGGCTATTACAAAAGGATACCGTACAACATCGACAGCGGCAGCCACAATACTGGCGGGACTTTTGCCATTACATATTAGAGCAGCACAAGAAGCAGCAGTAACGACTGTTCTCCAATTACATCTCTGCACTACTTTTGGACCGCTATGCTATGACCCAGAGGAGTATGAAACAAAACGTCTCATAAATGCAACCCATCCTTCACACCATGGAAAAGGGGTTGTAGCACACACCACCTCTCAGCACAGCCTCCATGAAAAAAATAAGGCCAGTAAATGTCATCCATTCGTCTAACTACGGAAAAGGAGTCTCGGCCCACACATCATGGAAAGATGACTCTGACATAAAGGATCATTATTACGTTTATACGGATGGTTCAAAAGTTGACGGACAAGTAGGCTGTGGCCTTATAGTAACTAAGAACAAGGAAACGCTGATAACATGGAAAGGTCATATGGGACAGAATAATTCAGTTTTCCAGGCTGAAGCAATTGCGAATTCGTAAAGCTATCGAGTTAACAAGCCCCCCAGTAGGATCCACTGTTAATATTCTTACAGACAGCCTCTCGGTCATATATGCCTTACGAAATCCCAGACATTCCTTCTCCTATCATAGCGGAGATTCAGGACACGCTGAAGGAGCGTTCGTCGACAATGAATATCCTCATATCTTGGATAAAGGCACATGCCGGCATTCAAGGTAATGAGGAAGCCGACAGGCTAGCAAAAGAAGCAGCTCACAATATAGATGCACAATGCGTAATTACCAAACTCCAAACTCCCGTGGTCTCACCTTAAAAAGTGACAAGGACAGCAGCTCAGCACCAGTGGCAATGGGAATGGGACTCTACCGAACAAAGCAGGAAGACCTATGAATATTACCATAAAGTTTCGCTCGATCGTCTCGAGTCATCCCCACAAATAACGAGATTTGTGACGGGCCACGGGCCTTTCCCCTCCTATTACTATGAGAGAGGAATTGCAAATACCGAAAGTTGTGTCTGTGGAGGCATTGGTAAACCAGACCATTACTTGACCCAATGCCCTCTAACCGCACAGTGGCATGTGCAGCTTTCGGAACAGGCAACTTCTCATAAGCGTTATCTGATCAAACAGCCAGCATTTCGCATCAAAATATGCAAGATAATGCAGAAACTGGAGGAATTGGGAACAGATTTGTGCAGTGTGGAGTAGTTCCCTGTCAATCTCTCTTCTCTCTCTCTTCTATCTTTATTTATTTATTTATTTATTATTATTATTATTATTTTTATTTTTATTGTATATATTATGAAACATGTATGCATTACGGCCCACTGTATATATTCTGAAACATGTATGTACTATGACCAATGAAAATTATTATGAACTACTATGTATGTATTATGTAGCAGGCTCAATATATTATGTACTATGTAAGCATGTATATGTATGAACTACGTATGTAAGCATGTATATGTATGAACTATGTAAGCAAGTATTATGTAAGCAAGATCTATGTATTATGAACTACTTGTATATAAGCATGTACTATGAACTATGTAACTATGTAAGCATATATTATGAACTATGTAAGCATGTATACAGGACCAACGTATGCCCTTATAGTCCCCATGAGGTGTTGCCCCGGATAGTTGCGGAACCTGGACTAGACCCGAATAGTCTTAGTAAGCCGCACGGGTGTCCAGATTCTGCTCTCAACTCAACTCAACTCAACTCTAGAGGAGGTGGCATAATTATGCGCGTAAGTGTTTGAAAAATGTCTTGGAGCCGTCTTCTATGACGTACTGTATAATTTAACAGCATAACTCTCTCTATAAATTAATTATACTAACGGAATAATTTTGACCTATTACAGCAGTATTTTTGGAAGGTTCCTGAAATCGTAAACAGCGAATTACATATTATATAGTTACTTACTGTACAAAAAAGACTTCTCTGGTATTGAAACACTGTTTTCAGAAAACTGAGTTAATACACCTGCAAAAGTTGCCATTGTTTTACTATTAACAGTTGTTCCATTGTTTTACTATAACACTTAGACCGTTATTAGATTTCTACAAACTAAACATTAGTAGTATTATTTTATTTTGTAAAGAAATCTTTGAACTATTATTTAAATTAAAAAAAAGAAATTGCTCGGAGAAATTTTACACATCATTAAAATGTTCTAGCTTTATGTAGAAATCGATAAAAAAAATTGAAATGCGTTAGGTCCCGAAAAGTAAGTAATTTTTTTAGTGATATAATTTTTAAATTGCAGTAAAGAATTCCTCAGATTGATTAAAATAATGTATGCTTCTTGCGTTTCGTAAAATATTACCCTTGAACAATACATTTCAATAATGCATTTCAACAGATATGAAATATTTTTATTGTTTAAGGATCAAAGTAATCAAGAAGATTTGGTTACGTTTTATATGCACTAGTATTTATTGTGTTAAAAATATTTTTGAGGTTGATTAAAATTGTAGAAAAAATTTGGTCTGCCTTCGACTTTAAGCATAAATTTTTTTGCCGTTTTTCTAAACTACTACCATCAAAAATCATTCAAAATTTATATTTTATTGCGAATTTCCGTCTGAAGAATGCAACGAAACTATTTTTGTGTACATTCATTAAAATACCCGTGTCTGCCTTGAAATGCACTAGTTATTTTTTCTGATTAATAATGAAATAATTAGATCAACTGATAAATACCTGCATTATTATGTTTTTTTCTAAAGTAAAGACATGGATTCTGATTCACTAAAATATTTCAAGTACCAGTTTTAAAGATACAGTTTATAAAACTAACAGACACGTGCTGAATATTATTATATGCTGACATTGATAACAGTGATAAAAATGATCCGGTAAAACAGTTTAATTCACAAACTGGATTACACGTCTGCCAAAGAGCAGAACTAAACTGACCCCTTGCCTATTTAAAATTCGGATCAAACCTTATTCATCTAAGTCCACGAACAGTTGACGTATCACGTGATCATTAACTTTTAGAACGAGTGGAGGGAACAAACACTACATAAGAATGCAGTTCAATTTCGACGAGCTGTGATGCTCACTTAGTTCCGGTGACTGTGAAACCAGTCACCAACAGAAGCGGCTTAAGTTCAAGGTTCTTCTAGTGAACTTCTATTGCGCTGACCCTTATTTTTCATTCCCTGGGATAGAGTAAAACTGCAGGTAAGTTGCATTTCTCGAACTTTTCCATTAGTTATGAATATCATTAATCTAATGTAGGATGAATGAGACAATGAGGTAAATAGTATTTCATTTATTATTATTGAAGCAATAGAGGAAGCTCTTTTAATGAAACATTCGAAATGTTTTGTGATAGAACCATAATAAAGTCAATCTAAATATGACACTCTGTTAAAATTTAAAGTTACGAAAACTAAGAAATTTATGATTTTTAAAATTTAAAATTGTGTTTCAGTGTGTTCATTTAAATCAACATTCCATAGGGAAAAGGATTCAAGAATTTTCTTCTTTATCTTTATGTACATTATAAAGAATGCTCTTGTTTTTGCTCTCTACTAATGTTGAAACTGTTTCTATGAATCACGAAAATCATCCTTAAAAAATTTCCTCCTGTAGAAAAGATGGCTTCAGAAGAGGATTTAAATTACAATCATTTTTCGAAAAAGTACGCTAATGACTTGTTAAAATTTAAAATTCATGGTCGAGAAGTGGTTCGTTAATCCTTTTACATAAGTAATAAACTTATCATGTATTTCTCATAAAAACGTTGAGTTACGAAAGAAATGTAAAGAAAAACTCTGAAAGCTGTTGCTTCTATTGCTTTATAACTTGATCTTCTTAACTTGAATCAACTATTTAATTAAACAAATTCGTGGTTATATTTAGAACCAATAGAGATCAAGCAAACGAAGTCACACAATGCCAAAAGTTTTGACTTCTCTCGAGCATTTTAAGGAACGTTTTCTTACATGTTTTATTTAGTGCTTACCTTCTGTAATTTAAAAATAAACCATGGATTTACATAAAATCATTCACAAACGTTATTTCTTCTAAAAAGGTAGTTTTTCAACAGGTAATTATAACCACATTGTCAAAGCATTGCAATACTTCTTCAAAACATTGCAATCTTAACCATGATTCATTTCTCCCATAGTAAAATTACTACCATTTTATCGAGTATCATAAAAAAGTATTTAATGCTAAGCAGGAATTTAGATTTATCTAATAATACACTACTTAAAGGAAAGTTCAGGTATTACCACCATTGCCAAATTACCACAATTTTATAAAAAAGTATTTAATATTAAACAGGAGTTTAGATTTATTTTAAAATGCACTACTTAAAGAAAAAGGAAAGATCAGGTATTAGAATTGGCATTCTAATAGACCGAAAAATTCTGAAATATGTGAAACAGAAACTTGTTCAAATTCAAGCTCTTAGGATGAACTGTTGGTTCTGTAAAATGATATACATGTTTTCCTAATTAATATAATATAAAAATCTGGTTTTCCCCATGTGTAACATGTATACGAGCCAGTTTCCCTTAGAAAGTCCTCCACGAAGGGATCCCTCCTCTTAGGCAGATAGCCCTTGAGGCTTTGCCATAATCACACACACACACACACACATAATATAAAAATCACATTTTTAATAAGTAAACCCATTTTCACTGGGAGAAAACTAAATCACCTAAACGCATTTCATCAAAATAATGACTTATATATATATATCTTCTGAACTAAAGATATTATCGTGAGCTAAAAAGCTAAAGACCTCCGTAACTTTATTAGTAAACAATTTACTAAACTGATGAAGCCCATACAGGGTATCTGAAGAAACTCAAAGAAAATGATCTAAGTCTTCACAAGCTGATGCATTCACAAGTTGATACATTTTCAGAATGCTTTACAAGACAAACAGAAGGTAAAATTGGATACAGATACTTTTATAACTTCAGTCCTAGCTCAAATGACTACTTTGAATCAACTAATATTCAAAAACTATTACTTTAATACTTTATGCATTTTTGTGAGGTAAAAGTAATCTTGTAAACCACTTTTATGAAAATTTCATCCAGACGTTCAATTTCGCTAGCTCTGACGAAGTTATTAAATGTTGAAGTTTGAAGTCTTAATTGGAAAATAATTTATTGAACACGTTTGGCAAATCTTTCTGAGCATACAAATTTTAATTTTGACGAAAAGTGTTAAGTAATTATATATTTTAATGAAATGATGATATAGATGAAAGTGATTAGGATTAACAATGAAATATTTTAAATGAAAATACCAAATCCAAAATTTATTTTTGAAGTTGTCAGTAAAAAAAATAAAGTAGCACTCATTTTTAGGCATTCAATAAAAATTATAATACGTCGAAGTTCAGTAGAGAAAACATTCAACTCAATTGTCTTCCAGAGAAATGTTGTTGGGTAATTTTTTTTATCGTGGCTTATTTTTGATCTTATTGATATTTTGGGTATCGTGTGCCGGAGCCAATTTCTCAAGCCTGAATGACTGCGGAAACTGAAGAAAAGCATGCGGAGGAACGTGCTCATCATATAAATTAACTCTTAGTTGCGTGTTCTTGAAAAGGTAATTACCTGGGGGGAAATAGCTGACCTGGCGATGCGTTTTTACTAGCAACGCCTCTTCTTGTTGAACTAGAAGTCATGATATGTTTGCTGTTTGAAGAAATCCCAGCAACATTTGGATAAACAGAAATTGAAGGCGATTTTTAAGATTGCAAAATGTGACGAATGGCCAGTTTGGAATAATTAATATTTAAACGAAATGTATTGTTTATACATATCACACTAAAATATTACAGAAATATATAAAGAACTGCATTAATTAATCTAAAATACAGAATGAGAGCAGGAAATGCATTATTATTCAATCAATGTAATTTAACCCAAGTACTTATATTTGTATGTTAAATCTTAATATTTTGTAAGAATGTTTCTAGCATTAATTATTTCAATATAAAATCATAATTAATTAAAAAACTAGTTTCTTTATCAAGTATAGTACAATACGAATTATTTGATAAATTTACCCCAAAATAATAATATTTAAAGCACAAAAATATTTTTTTTTATTTATTTGAAGCACAAGTAAAGAAAATTCACTTGTCATGAAAATGGAGTAAGATGGTTATTTAGAAGTGCAATGATTAGCAAAATAAATATCTAATGCCTAAATTTATAAACTTTGCCTACAGATGCGGCACTATGTGAGGTCAGAAAATTAACCTCATTTTTAGGCATTCAACAAGCAAGTTCATTCGTTCCCAACAAAAGCCGATAGTAAATAAAATCTATCATATCGGATTAATGTAAATGTATCTCAGCTGATGAGTTTTATTTGCCATTTGTAATGGCTGGAAAATGGACTGTTGATAGCCATTAGTTACAAGGACTGAAAGTTGTTTGGATATAATTTGAAAGCCTCGCATCATCTGCCATGAAATTTCTAGCCTAAATGGCAAATTTCATTAGATAGACTTTAGTAAATGCAAGTATCACATATCAGTTGCATTGATCTCATCACCATCTGTGATCCACCAACTGCTGAATGGAGAAAACCACTGAACCATGGTAGTTGCCTCCCACCCAGCTTTCCCGGCTGTAGAAATGATTGACTACATAGAATGCTTTATTCGGCATAAATGTAAGCAAAGACTGCCTTATAAATTCTCCAGCAAGTAACCGTTCTCATGACATGTAACCCTAAAGCAACTTGTTATGAATATATTATACATTTGTCTGTCAAACTAAGGGGTTAAACACTCAGAAAATAATTTCCCTTAAAAATTAACTTTATAAATACCATACATATTTACACGATAAATTACGAAATGCGATTTTAAGTTTAGATAGCATGATGATATTGGCTTCAGACTAGAAGGCAGTTTAGAATTTTATTTCAAAGAATACAGAGTGAATAAAAGATACCACTTATATTTTATTCTTTAATGACAACATACTTTTGTTACAATTCTGATTGAACTACTGAAGAGAAAAAGAATGAAAGTTACAAAAAAGATTTGTTTTGTGATCTAGATTCTTCTTTATATCTAAAAGATTCAGTAAGTTCGAGTCTAATTTAGTAAACTGTGAAATTAAAAACAGATTATAGTGTTATATAGGCATAGCTTGATTCATAATTCGAAAAGAAATATGTCAGAATCAATAACTGAAAGAATTGTTAGACATATTATCATGTTATGCATTCTTTTTTTAACGTAAATAAAAAATTGGATTAACAAATTTAACTGAATTTAAAATTTATTTACTTCCAGCATAAATATGGCTTTAACTCTCAGGATTTTACTTGCTGTTGTGATCTTGGCCTTCATTGGATCACACTGTCATGGCCAGCGACCTCCTGGTATAGGTAAGTAGATTAGCTACCTGGTAAGATATGCTACCGCTATTTTAATTCTCGTTTAAGGTATTTAAAAGTTAACTCCCGACTGTTGCTCAGTAATTCAATTTAAAAGATGAAATCAAAAATTTTAATTTCAACAAAAATTTAATGTCATTTACCTTTATCTACAGCTAAAGGCTGATATGAAAGGAGCAGAAAAAAATTTCGAGTTAATAAAACTTTTAGAAAATTACGTTTAAAAAATAATTGGAGAGCTGTTTCGTAAAATAAATTTAAAAAAAAACATGTTTATGGTAGGATTAAACACAAATCTGTTTAACAAACAAAAATGCCTCCTTAGTCGGTGTAGCGGTTAGCGTTGTTGGCTGCCGTATCTTTGGATCCGGGCTCGAACAGAACTTGGCATTGCCCTCCTGTCGTCATCTATAAGGTGCCCAAGGCTTACACCAAAGATGCAAGCTGTGCTCCTCGCCATGATAAAATTCGTAGGCTTGTTTCGATAGTACTGTCAGACTAGCGACATAAGTCACAACAACAAAGAAAAACAGAAATTATCATACGCTTTAGAGATGAATGGAATTTCACAGTATGAGAGATGTCGGATAATAATTAAGAGCTAGTGATTTAAATTTCTCATTTCATATTTGCATCACAGAAATTATAACGTTATGAAATCTTATCGTTCTGATGGAGAACAAGATGACATATAAACTATAATGAAAGTCAATGAAATGTTTTCTTAGTATTTTGATTTTTTTGTTATTTAATAGGAAATGTATTGTTGCCTTAAAACACCAGCTTGCGCAGTTTAACAATAACAACACTTTAAATATACCTTCTTCTTATTTCTTAGAGGAAATACATATTTATACTTTGGAAGCGTGAGGTAAATAATGCATAATTAATGGCAAAAAGATCAGTTTGTTTTTTGAATTCCAAATTAAAAATAAATTGCATTCCTTTATTAAATAATGATGATTTTCTTGTAAGGTCATTTTTAATTTTTGAAACAAATTACAATGCCTTACTTTCAAATGCATTTTTAATTGCTTGAATCAATTACGATGATTTTCTTTCGAGCACGTTCTTAGATTATTTTTTAATAAACAATGAGCATGAGTCCATTGAATAAAATGATTCACATAATCATGAAACTGCAAATTACTTCATATGAGGTAAAGATTTTTCAAAGAAGGCTAGCATATGCCTGCCTTATTGTAATGTTAGTATCTATAATAATTAATAATCGATAATAATCTCTAATAATTAGAGTGCCAACAAAAGTCTACGCTAGCGGTCGTCAAACAGTACTTAAAGTGCTCAGAAGCGGATCTATAATTATAAAACTTAATATAGAAGATGCTATTATACAAATTATGTTCAATATGAAGTACATTTTATATAAAGCATTTCATGAAATAACTTTGAAATTCCATATTTTCAATGAAAGCAACGTAAATGAAAAAGGGTATTTTACCTTTTCGTACATTTAGTTTTCATGGTTTTAGTTTAGTTGTATGTTGAATAAAACATAAACTTACACATTTTAAATCACGATTTTCCTTACCCCCTCCCTCGAAAGAACTGAAAAAAAAAAAAAAAGAAAAAAAAAAAAAAGAAAGGAAGATTTTTATTCAACTTACTGCAGTAATCTTCTTATTAATTTTATTACAAACCTTAATTAAATTATAAAGGAATACAAAATCAATGCATTAAAAATGTTTATCAGTTCCATACACAAACATATGACTGAAATGTAGAATTAAAAATTTCTATTTATTTCAAACGTCGAAAGAAGATATCATTCCGTGGTGTTTATGTTCTAGCTATCTTAAATATTTATTTTGGAATTGCTTAAAAAATCATGCAATCTCGCTCATTTTAAATCATAACTTAATAATCTATAATTTTAAAGAGAAAAAATTGTAGGTCTTTTTATATTGTTTCTTAGTTACTTTTGAAGTAACTGAGAAACTTCGCTTAGTTTAAAAAAACATGTAATTAAAAAAGTAAGTTTAACTTTATATTCCTGCTTCGAAGTTTATATTTTCTGAGAAGGAAAGTTTAATAAGAACTAAGATAGAATAGTGAAGAGCTCTGTTACGCCTTTTATCGACAGAAATTGTGATTTAACTATATTTGTCGTCCTACTTTTTTTGCTTTAAATACAATTCAAATTCAAAGAAAGAACTCAATTTGCTATGCAGTATTTACTTAGCTTTCTCAAAAACGCAAAAATTTTTCTAATTTGTTTCATCGGTCATACCGTAACAAATGGATTCTACTGCATTTTAGTCTATAGTTTTAGTTTCTAAAGCAATTAAATACGTTTTATACATATATATATATACATACATATATATATATATACATAGAGAGAGAGAGAGGGAGCTAGAGAGACCTCTGAGTCAATGGAAGTCGCAAATGGGGGAGGGGAGACTTTGGAAGCATACTCAATTCGTGTCCGGAGTTCGAGTTTCGGAGAAAGTACTGCATATTTTTCATGTCTCCTGTTTCCAAATAACTTAATGACTCTGATAGTGGTGCCCGAACTAAAAGGTGGGGTGGGGGGCGATAATTGGTCACCACCAGGATTTGGCGATTGGGTCCCTTCATCACCTGTCGCCTTTTAAAATGGGGGGGGATATATAAGGTATTTTCTCCGTTTCGCATGCCTTAGTAGTGTAATTGGAAGCATACTTGGCGCGTATTCGAGAGGTTCAGAGTTCGAGTTCCGGCGAGAGCATTGCATATTTTTCAAGTCTCCAGCTTCAAAATAACCTAATGGTTCTACAGTGTATCTATAAAAGATTGTGAATATTAGTCAAAACATCATTTTTACTAGAATGCATTTGACATATATAGATGGAAACCACAAAAAAACATACATATGAATTGGAAATATAAATAGATTTGATGAACCCATAATGTAACAATGTAAGAGAAGAATTATGTGTGAGCAAACCAGTAACGCACTCGATTTGTTAAATACGGAAATGGGTATAAGCAATATCAGTAATATAGTTGACATTTTTTTGGATGCGTATTATAACACACGTATAATACAAATTTATGCTAAAATAATAAAACTTTTAATTCACAAGAGCATAGAAGTTAGGAAAGAGTTAAAAATGAGTCTTCGTGCCTCTAAGAATAACCTTCTAAGAGGCTAAAAGTGACAAACTCAGATCTTGCTTCCCCTTAGGAATCTGAAGTGTATCTTAGAATGGAATTAATGGCCAGTCTCAAGCTATGTATTCACGGAATTATTTGTAACAGCTAGGATAACAAAAATTTGCACTTTGAAATAAGTAATACGCTTAATAAAAAATAAGTGTTTATCCATTATAAAAAGGAATTCAAATTTTAGGAATTCCTTCAATATGCGTATTGAGAAATATGAAAAGTTTTGATGCTCTATGATGATTATCTGTGTATAGACACGAAACCTCCTCAGAATCTACGATTTATATATTAAAATATACATTGCACATTTTATATGGGCATACATTGTTACAGTAAGTAATCGTTGACTTGGTAATGCCTTTTCTGAGTGGAATACATTTAAAATTTGTATTTACAATGCACAAAGAAGTAGTATTTTGAAGTATTTTAGTTAATTACTTGCGTACAATTGTTATTATTTAAGTAACTAAGAAACTTGCAGATAATTTAGATAAAGGCCTTGCTACAAGCTAGGAAATACTACTGAATGGATTATTTTTACTCAAAAATATAATAGAGAGAAGAACAAATCTGATCTTGTGAACTTCACTTGTATTTAAAGAGGTCATGAGCTGATTAAACAATTTTAGAAAGACATCATTATTCAAATTAAGTAGCCATATTCTCTTGTGATTACGAATTAGAATTAACAGTTACAATGACTGAAGCAAAATTATCAACGGTTTAAGAAAAAAAAAAGGCTTTGCGGATCACCCAAATAATATTCAATGGCTCAAATAACTATTTTATCTGCTGACTTTCATGAAAGATCTGCTGTCTAGCTGGAGAAGATGTCTCCCTGGATCACTTAAAAGTGTTCTGGAATAAAAATATTTTTCTTGCTACAAACCTATAAGTTTCTTAGCCGCCATTCTAAGAGTTTTTAAAAGAAATTTCAAAAAATTTCCTTGTTTCAAAAATTTTCCTTCAACTAATTTTATGTATATATGAGTTTTTGTTAGCTGTTTACGAGAAAAATACAGCAGCTTCAGTAAAGTAGTAATTAAATTAGCTGTACTATTATTTCACTAATAATCTCATAAAATTGTTTACACTGTTTAAAAACCATACCAAGTAGGAAAAATTCAACTACACTTGATCCTCGAATTTTGGGGGGGGGAGGGGTAAGGACACCAACAACCAGCGCATTTCTCCAAATGCTCTTCTCCCTTCTAACCTTCTCCAAATCTAAATATTACTATAGCCTGATGTTCGGCAAAAACTTCAACCTAAAGAATAAATTAACACATGTTTCACATCCAAAGTCTATTAATGCTGTATTCTTTCTGAAGGAAAAAGGACACGACTAGCACCATACGGCGTAGTTATCACAATAATACAGTATGAATTGCAACTAATTTTATGCATATATGATTTATGTTAACATTTTTTATGTTTCTATCATTACCAACTGCACCATACGAGGTCTGAAAGTGTTTATGTGCGAATTTTAATATTTATAACAGAACCTTTTTTTTATGTTATTGAAGGAGATAAGCTATTATCAACACAGATTTTATGAGTTTAGGGCTATATTAAATTTGAAGTTTTTTGGGGTTGTAGATTATGTAGTTTATCTGTTAGTTTTTTCAAATTGTTGTAAATCTCCAAATAATTTTTGAATACATTTTACTGAAGGACAAATAAAAGTAAAATAAAATCCCGTATATAAGCGTATTCCACCATTTCAAGGAGTTTTTATCTTGCTCTAATTTTACTTTGTATTTCTGACACCTGTTAGATAGAAAAAAAAATATTTGTTAGTTTTTATTAAAGACGTATTCTTAAAAACTGCATTCTTGTATTTTTCAGGAAGCATTTTTGACTTGGTTCGACCTACAAATTCCGCTTGTACGGGTGACAGCGGAGATAAAGGAAGTTGTTTAACGAGCAGAGAGTGCGGTGAACGTGGCGGCCATTCCATCGGAGTCTGTGCTAACGGGCTTGGACAATGTTGCTACTGTAAGTGTTGCCATGTGTATTTGAAACCTGTAAACAGTATGAAATCGAAACCAGATGGCGTTTATTATTTTTTAAAATCGAATCAATTTATAACTCTTGTATTAAGCATATTTAATAGCTATACAATGTAAACGAATTGCACATGAAAGCTGAATTTTTTTATGGTCTAACGGGCTTTTTACTTAACTTTGAATCGAAGTAAAATTTAGTTAAATCCCGAAGGTAAAAAATTATGAAAGGTAGCGAAACTGAAGCTACATATATCCTTTGAGTGACATTACTTTTGCTTTAAAATTAAAATGCAATTTAATTTTTCTGAAATTCTTTAAAAGGGAAATTTTTCAGCATTTCCTTATCTGTTAAATTCGGAATTAAATGCAAATACCGTAAGATAATACCGTAAGATCCCCAATACGTAAGGACATGAGTAATGTAAGCAACACTTACTTAAAGAGAAATCAGAGGGATAAAAAGAAGCTTTATTGAAAAAGAAGCATGGAGCGCAATGCGACTGAAGGCCGAACATTCCTGTGATGGGTGTCCAGCAAGAAACATCCGGTCTTTAATAGGGGATATGATCTCCCCTGACTGCTAGGCAGGTTTCACAGCGTCTGCCCATGCTGAGAATGAGGGTGTCAATGAGTTGTTGAGGCTTTGCTGCCCATTCATCTTGCAGCGCCAATCGAAGCTCCGGAACCGTTACTGGTGGTAAGGTACGAGCTGCCAAGCGTCTGCCTAGAAAATCCCATACATGCTCGATGGGATTGAGATCTGAAGATCGTGCCGGCCAATCCATACGTTCAATATCCTCACTCTCTAAGAGCTGTTCGGCAGCTACTGTGCGATGACATGGTGCATTGTCGTCCATGAAAAGGAACTGCGGACCCATAGCGCCTCTAAAAAGACGCACATATGGAAGAAGAATCTCGTTACAATAACGGGTCCCGTTGACTGAACCTGCGTCGAAGATGTGAAGGTCTGTACGACTACCAAGCATGATGCCTCCCCAAACGAGAACACCGCCACCTCCCTACCTGTCCCTTTCAATGTTGTTCGAGGGATGATTGCGGCTTCCCCGCTCTCACCAGATGAGTATGCGATGAGAATCGCTACACAGACTGAATCTGCTCTCATCTGTAAAGAGTACTCGTCCCCATTCAGTGTCTCTCCAATTCCGGTGTTCGTGGCACCACAGAGAACGCCTTCTCCGATGGGCAGGCGTTATAGGTACACACCGTACAGGGCGTCGTGCAAACAGACCACCACCGTGCAGTCTTCTGGCCACGGTAAAACGCGATATCGGTCGTCCAGTCGCCTGTGTCGTGTGTCTAGCGATTTCTCCCGCTGTCTGCCGCCTGTTTCTTCTGGCCTGTAAGGCAATATACCGGTCATTTGCGGGTGTGGTTCCTAGTGGACGACCGCTACTAAACCCCCGGATAGCTGTTCCTGTGGTTTGAAATTTTCTCCAAAGTCATGAAACGATGCTGTGAGCAATTCCGAACTCTGCAGCCACACTTGTCACACTGCGGCCTTCCTCCAACTTCCCAATGATTCGACTTTGGGAAGTCTAACAGATTGATTTTTCGCTATTTCTCGCTGAGGCAGCAACACGGTGTGATTTTAACTGCTATACGGCGTGCAATCTCTTTGCTAGAAATACTGATCTTACACCGACAACATGCTTTATACTACTCAGACACTCTCCCATTACGTCTACCTGTATATCTGCGCATGTGCTACCGTACATCACCTTACTTAATCTCCTGATTGGTCTTTCTGTCCACTCTGCCTCTTCGTTCAGCTGATATGCTAATTTTTCCACTTCCTCCTTAATTTTTGGACACCAGTCTAAGCACGTGTTTAACCCGGCGGAAGTCGCACCAAGAAAAGTTACTAGAGTGGGGGCGAGGGGTATCACATACCCCAATATTTAAAATACAATAAAAATAGTATTATTTAGCTTTAAAACTGTTTTTTTTTTTTTTTTTTTTTTTTTTTTTTTTTTTGTTACACTCTATAAATAAATTTCTGAACTAAATATTCAGTCAGAATATTCAGTCACTTGCACGGACAGGCGCGTGGGGTGTGTCATACCCCACTTCCGACAAAATACCGATAAATCTTTTTCTGAAACACACAGGCAAAGAAAAAGCGGTTCAGAAAGTCAACCACAACTAGAAACTCAGCTACTGAAACCAGCACAGAATTTCAGTTTCGCAAGTTAGGAATATTCCACTTTTATGTAGGGTTGGGGTATGATACACCCCACGCGCTTTCCCGCGGGTTAAGGTATCAAGGAAAGGGGGCACGACAAAAATGTCCTTAGGAATTAAAGCAGAGATGGGAAACGTGCGGCCTCCGTGAGTTCCTTGTGCGGCCTCTAGATCTGGTATTAATATTTAATTAAATAGATTACGACAATTTGAAAAGTAATAGAATTAAATAACGTGCTGCCATCTATTAAGCATAACATGAATTAGAACGCTGCAATGTTGCATCTCTAGCGTTCTTCCATAGTCTGAAATTATTGCCAAGCTGGCGCTCTTTTCAGGTTGCCAACATCCAATAATGGAAATCCTACTGTTTTGTTCTTATATTTGTTCCACGGCTCATCCCTACTTGAAATACACTAATCTTGTTGCTTGTAGCATTCACCACACACCGGACACTGTGACGGTGGCTGTTCTCAGACACAGACAGCACCTACTTTCCTTCCGATACACCGCCCCCCTCAGCATTCCCTTGTATGTTGTATATATGGTAATTTGTTGGTAATTTGTAGTTATATGGGTGTGTTTGTAACAGTCGCAGTGTTGATCTAAGGTACTACTGGTAAGGTTCGCTGGCTATCAATAGGACAGGTTTTGAAAAACGTTTTAACTTTACGAAGACTAATCTTAAACTTTCATCAAGAACAGGGCAAACTATGTGATCTCTCAAATGAAGCAAGAAACACTAATTTTTTTGGGGGTCTGATATTATGACAAAACAAAACAATTTAAATATTTGCCTGCAAGGTAAAACGAATCATATATATGAAATGTGGCAAAAGATCCAAGCGTTTTGAAAAAAAATTAACATTTTTCAAAACATTGCTCTCTTACTCTGATATATCTGCAGAACACTTCCCGGAGCTAGCAAAAGTGTAAAAATAAAACAGTCAATGAATATTAGATATATTGGACTTTTTAATAGAAGAATATACTGAAAGATTTTCAGATTATCACGTGTACACTTCTGCTATGAAACTAACATTTGAAACACATTCAGTAGATATATCTAAAGCTCCTACTTCATTACAAACGGAGTTATTTGAGTTGCGAGAAGATAGCATCTTCAAATCTCTTTTTGACGCTAAAAAGGTTCCCATAGAAATCTGGAAAAATGCTGTTGAATATTCATGACTACGAGAGCATGCATGTCGTTTACTTTTCTGCATTGGAACTTACTACTGCGAGTCAACACTTTTTTTATGACCAAAAATAAAACTAGTTTAAGAACGCAAATTACAGATGCGCATTTAGCGGCTTTACTAAGGGTGCGCGTTACGAAGCTTGATCCAGATATTCAACTACAAGAAAAAAATGCAAATATCCCACTAAATTAAATTTTCCATCGGATTATAACATTATTTTACATACTGTTGCTACGTTGGTTTTTTATAACTTAATATTATTACTTTTCTGTTGCTTTTCTTCATAATGTAATAAATTTATTGAAAACTATTTCTACTTTATTAGTTTTATTTGAAACAGCATTAAAATATATGTAGCTGTTATAAAAAATTAGTAAAAATTAATCTTATAATAAGTTATTAGCCTTATGTGAATACTAAAATATTTTATGTTTTAAATTTTTATTTTAATGAATAACTTTTTTTCATAATTTCTGTATAATGCAATAAATTGATAAAACTGAATAATATGAATTCATATTATGAATTCAAAACTGCAATATTAAAATAGTAGCTTTAAAAAATTAAATTAACAAGACAAAATGTCCAAGCATTAGCAGAGCTCTTATAGCGATCGAGCAAGAACAGTTATCCATTTGTATGCTGAATGATAATGGTGAAAGAAAAATTTCACGTTTACAAGCTTATTTATGCATCTGAAGAATACTGATTTGAAGCAAATACTTTCTACTTTTCTTTTCATTTTATTTTATTTATTTATTTGCTCGGTGTGTGTGCACGCGTAACATCAACAGTTTTCCAGAAAAGCAAAATTTAAATTATGAATCTTGAAGATGCAAAGTAAAATTCTAGAACTGAATTAGCCGCTACGAATTATTCACAGAAAACTATGAAGACTTGCCACTTAGATGATCTTTTTGTCATTGTATAACCATAGATCAGAGCTTCTAAAAATATTACACATTTCTCTGTGTGAGCTTTATGAGCCATATGAAGTTATAAATAACACTTCCTGAGGAAAGATAAGTTCGAATGCATTTGGATTAACCTATGACTAACATTTCAAACACATAACGAACGAACGTTAAGGTAAAACTTTAAAATTCTAGAACTTTTCTTTTCTTTTCTTGTCGTTTCTTTTAATAAGAATCAATGGTACTTTTTTAACAATAGTTTAGATTTTGATTGTTTAGATGAATTCACTTTCATTATAATTCTCTTTCGCCTGATTATAACATTTAGAGGTGATTTTAGTTTCCTCACATGTGCTTAACGCCAGTTTTTTCTTCATTCCTCCTCTCTTGGTTTTGGTTTAGCCGCACCATGCATTCCATGGTGGCAATAGGGAATTTTTGGTGCTCCCTTTCCTTAATTCAGTGATGGGGAAACTTTTTACCATGAGAGGCCGCATTTAAATTAGGCACTGATAAAGGAGGACGCATAAGTTGATATGCCAATAACTACGACCTTTTTAGAAATTATTATAGTATTTGCATAGTTTTATCAATTTATTGCATTATACAGAAATTATGAAAAAATGTTATTCATTAAAATAAAAATTCAAAACATAAAATATTTTAGTATTCACATAAGGCTAATAACTTATTATAAGATTAATTTTTACTAATTTTTTATAACAGCTACATATATTTTAATATGTAGCTGTTATAAAAATTAGTAAAGTATCAGTTATGAATCAGTTATGAAATTATCTGTAGCGTCTTAGATAGTATCAGTTATGAATATATATAATATTATATTTATTCATAATATGAATACATATGTATATGTATGTATTTTTAAATGTCTAATATTTGGTTGTCTTATTTTGTAAATTCTTACCTTCATATAAAGAGCAACAGGAAAAAAAATTGACTCTTGTTTTTCTTGCAGGTTGAATATACATAAGGGGGAATAATCACCTAACGGTTTTATAATAAGTTCTATTTTATGCCAAAGACCAACTGTCCACCTTTTAAAACTGCTTACCATTCACTTTAAACTTAACATAAGGATATATTTATAGAAATTAATTTTTTTTTGTAAAATTTATGTTTTTCCTTTACCTAAGTAAAAAATTCAATTTCTTGTTTGCAGTCAAATTTACATGTGGTGGTGTAACAAGTCGAAATGAAACTGTATTTGTGAATCCCAGCTATCCTCAAGGCGAGAACGGAACAACAGACACGTGCCAAGTTACAGTTGAGAAACAACCTAATGTATGTCAGCTGAGGCTGGACTTTGAAGAATTTAGCTTAGCACAACCTGACAGATTAGGTCTGTGTACAAAAGATTCTTTCATGGTCAGAACTACCGTTGGAGAACGCTTACCCATTCTTTGCGGAGAAAACAGGGGTCAACACCGTAAGTAGTTTTTCCTTTCGCATACAAAATTATGGTTAGTAGAATTTTACCAAACTTTTCTAGTACTTACGCTTTAAATCAACCATTTTGGAGCAATCGACGATTTTTTACAAATGAAAAGTTAAAAGTTACTTATTGGGTGCAAGTTGGTGGTTTTCGCGAATTTTTTAAAAAAGATTCCCATACTATGGATATTTATTGTAAGCTGGTAGACATTATCAATATACTTTAGAAATTTAAACTACAAATTTAAATTCTTAAATATGGATTACGTGATGCATTAAAAAATAAAATACTTTCATTTTTGTCTCCAAACCTTTGTGTAATCTTTTTTTCACTATTCTTCTCTCCAAGTACACAGCGATTTGTTTTCGCTTAAAAAATCTTAAAAGAATTTCAGAGACTCGGCATCTTGCAAACTTCGGCAACTCCGGCTATCTTCTGAATTCATCTCCTCATTAATCCCTTTAGATATTTTGAGCAAAATTCTGTATTCCTGCAGAAATTTCTGCCATTGCTGTCAAATTCCACAATCACATATTTTAAATTAAGTTTACTGCAAAAAGAATTCCGATTTGTTTATAAAAACCGTTGGAGCTTGGGATACAACAAAAAGAACGCACACAAAAATGGCAACCTTGCTTGACTGAAAGATTGCTTTAAAAATGGTTGCCTGAAGAATGTTTATGTGTATGGTTGCCAGAGTCTGACACATTCTGAAAATCTGGAGACTTCCAGAAAGGTGGTTTTGATAACACATAAGCACCACATTTATTTATATGCTAGTCCCTCAGTGAACTTACTGAATGATCACAAATTCCACACATTCAGAAGAAGGACAAGGAAGTAAAGTGGGACAGTCTTATGTCCTTTAATTTCTACATATTTCTACATATTTTCTACATATTTTACTACATATATATTACGAAATCTGTTGGAAATCTTTAAAAGAGAATTTATAAGCCAGCTTCCAAATCAGAGTTATTCGAATCACAAGTACTGAAAAATTTTAGTTGTTTTCGCATTAAGAAAGAATGGTTGCATTTATATCAATTTTGTTCTGCTTTTTAATTACTAATAGATATTATAGATGGATAAGTAACATATATTATAGATGGATAACTAGCATCTGGCATATCATCATAATATTATAGATGGATAAGTAGAGATATTTGAAGATCATATGCAGTTTTGAAGATCCTATATAAGTTATTGGAGAACTAAAAAACTTGGCTGGACACATAGCTTCTCAGTAACTTGAGTTCGACCAATAAAAGCAGAATTTTTTTAAAGTATATTGGAATCTTATTATCTGAGTTTAAAGTTTTAAAGTAAAATAATTACAAAAACTTGAGAAACCAAACTTCTGTATGTATCGAAAAGCTCACATCAAACTTAGTTCTAACCTTAATATTACCTTTTATATATGGTCGCAGAAATAATTTTAACGGATCTTGTTCACTATTATTCCAAGACATCACTTGCCTGTTACCACCGAGATCAATTTAATTAGCGAATCTTAACTGAATTTAATGAGTGAATCTTAACAACCAAATGCTGCTGGAATTTGGTTTTACATTTTCAAGAAGTCTGCATGAAATAGAGCATACAGGTCTCAACATTGCGAAATGTTATTTGAAGAATAAAACTGAGCTTTTTTTTAATATAAAAAATTTTATTAAGGAAATAAATGTCAGTTTTTTCTAAAGGTATCAAAATGTTTTAAGCTATAAGCAGTAAAAAATTCTGAAGTTAGACCATATAAAGTAATTATAATCAAAGGCAAAGAGCTGCTTTGCTACTCAATCTGGCATATCATCATTTTACTTATGTAACATTTTACACATTAATTCACAGTCTCTTACTTCTAGGATTAATTTAAAATTTTTTATTTTTCAGTGTACATTAATATGGGCAGAAGATCTGGAAATCCCGTTGTTTTGAGCGTTGTGAGCAACGGAGACCGAATGATTAGGAAATGGAAAATAAAAATTTCATTGGTTTCTTGTAATAGCATGGATATGGGTAATTATTATGTTCTTCGATAGCTATTGTTGTTCTTTTTGTTTTGCAATCTTTGCCAATTTTGCCTTAGCAAAATCTTGAACTATAATTAAAAAGTTATTTTGATGGCTGAGAAATTTAATTACTGCGAATGGCTTATTTGAAATAAGTTAATGCTTTTCAGCCCCTCCTGGATGTTTGCAGTACTATCGCAGTCCAAGCGAAACCGTCCGCAGCTTCAATTTTGGGCCGCAGATCGACGGCCGGGTAAGATACTTGAGCAACTTGCGTTACACTGTATGCTTACGAGTGGAAGAGAACTTCTGTTCCATCAAATGGGAGACCGAGAAATCTGATTCATTCAGCTGGGGGCTGCCAGAAAATGCGGGAGGATCAGGCAGCACATGCAACGACGACGACTTCATCTCCATCGACGAAGGCAGCCTTGATGGATATGGTGCAGGAGAAGACAGATTCTGCGGAACCAGTTTACTCGACCGAAATAGTGTCATTTGTATGTATTTTAGTTTAAAGTGCACTTCTGAAATTACCTAATATTTCTGATGAAAGAAAGACATTTTATTTGAAATAAGAGTATCATTTCATTCTATGATTTCAGAAATACTTTTTATTGTATAATAGGTTTAAACTCCAATATTAATGACACGAGAAATCTAATTTAATATTACATATTTCGAGATTTTGTAATACTCACAAGTAAATGTGCTGAATGATTTTTATAAACTTTAACAGTTTTACGCAGTTTATTTAAGTGTAATTTAATGTCCTATTGATACTTTTCTTTAATTACCTACTCTAAGAATATTAAACATTTTTTAATGCTTAAAAAAATATTTTTTTAAAAGTGTCGATGATATATTCTCAGATTTATAATATGCACAGAAAGCATTACTAGGTGCACTGAATTTACAACAAAAAGTTAAGACACTTTTTTTTTACCTCATTATAAACTAAAATTGTATTATTCAGTAATTTTCGATTAAATTTGTTATATAAAATCATAGAAAATGTAATTAAAGGAAATATTATGGAAATCTCGCTAAATTTAATAGTAACTAAAATTCTGCTGTAACCTTACAAATCCTGCTGAAAATGTTTAAAATGACTTTATTAATATTTAAATTATTAAGAGTTAGTGCAAAAATTTTGAGTTTCATCAGTATATGATATTGTAAAAAATTCCAAGCATTCATTAAAACTTAATTGAAATCCCTGAATACTTTAGTTTAATTATAAAATCATGAATTTTTTAACAGTAGCTAACTGAAATAATATTTTATTAAATTTCTCTTTCAGCACGCAGTAAGCCATTCTTGCTAAAAGTTCGCAGCAATAGTGATGCTGGAGATAATGCGAAAGCCTCGCAAAGTGGATTTTCGCTAAGATACACACAGCTACCTTGCATGATATGAAAAAAAAAGCATAGAATGCTTTCATAAAAGGCAAGTCGAATTTCATGCATTGTCTTGATAAAATTGAAGCTGTATACTGAGATCTTTATCCTCTTATTAGCAAATCTAAGTATTATCCTAAAATAATTTTTCTCCCAGTCACTGCTTATTTTAAAACCTTAATGCTAAGATGGATTACTTACGCTAGAAAAAGGCCTTTCCTTGTCTCATCCTATTTAGGCCTATTCCGTGTTTTCTTTGACTCATTTAATACAATATTCTCCACTTACGTCTTCTTAAATGCACTGCATCATCAGCCATAACTGTCTAAATCTTTACTCAATCAGCATTATATTAAATCCCCATTTAACGAATAGTATTGTTTTATATTTTTGATTCAGATAAATTGTTTTGCATAATTTTTAGAGACGATATTGCTTTGAGAATGGTTATATGACATAAATTTTCTTCTAAGCTAAATAATTCTTACATTACGTCAAGATGCTAATTTATAGTTTACTAAATGTTGTATGAGCTAGCAAAATATTAACAAAATAAAAAAAAATCTATTTGTACTAACCGAGAAATGCAAAAAAGGAAAGTGATATGAAAAATTCTTGCTGTAAAAGTTATATTTCTTTTACTAAACTCAGCTTGCAGATTTTATGGAGAAGGTAAACAGAATGAAACCTCCTGTAAGAATATTGATAAAGCAATATTTTTCTCGGTTTTCCAATTTCGATGTTATTACGGACAGTTTTTGAAATCATAGTTATTTCAAGGAAGGAAAGTATTTTTAGAGTAAATGAAAATCTCAGGTATAGTCGCTACAGATAAGAGAATATTCACCTGAACTCGTATTATAAATTTAATGTTTGGTTAAGCATTCTTCCTTGACTGCTAAAATTTAATCCTTTGTATATTGGTTTTACCAAATGAATAATTACCGCACTTATAAACTTTAAAATGAGAGTTATTTTAAGAAGAACAGAATAAATTTTATCAAGTACATTTCATAATAATTAGCATATAGTTGCACTTATATTATATCTTCCTATATCCCAATATTACATGCTATATTATAGTATTATAGCTAAATTAAAGTTACTTGAATGCTAGAACCTAGTAGAACTGTAAGCAACTATTTGCTAAGTTCTACTGGGTCAGTAACAACAGCAGAGGAAGATTAAAATACTCTTTTATTTTAACTCAAATATATTTTAACTTTATATACACAGATGGTCCCACTCCAGCATACAAATAGCAGCACTTATGGATTTAACTTAAAAATGTATAAATGTAATATTAAACTAATTTTAAGCTGAACAATCAGCCGAAGCTGCGCAGAGATATTTGAAGCATAGTTGGCTCTTAGGTTAATATCACCGATGTAGATTAACAGACAATTAACATGCGCGGCCGTAAAATAGCAAGCTTTAACTAGTAGGAACAATGTGGCCGAAAGGCAGGTTTTCCCTATTATGTATTATTTAAGTATCTCTGGAATATTATGTATTTACGTGTACCCAACTGTGTTATTATGAGTGGCCACACGGACGCTTATTCAGACTAGTAATAGGAAATTTCTTCTTTACCATGCCATTGCACACTTACCTCCGTCTAAAGGCTTATCAGTTCACTGGTGTTTCTTCTGGACTCTATCATCGGTTCGTGTATGAACTCTTATAGTGATCGAATTTTCAAGTCAATTGCTCGATGCTCAACGAATCGAAAATCGCACACATCTTATCCCGGGATAGCGTTGTCACGCGGGCACCCACTTTGCGAAAACTCATCGAGTTTGCCTGAGCCGAAGTAACTCAGACCTCAGTTTAAATAGTAGCTTCCACCCTACTTTGCATAAAGCGTGAAACTGAAAACTCATTCTGGCAGGAAAGCGGGGGTAGGCAAATGAGGGTGTAAAAGGATAGGCTGTTAAGAAAGTAAAACAAAACCCCACAATATCTGTTATCATTTAATAGTTATCTAATGTCCTGTTAATGGATGAACTATTACATAAATGTATTCTATTAACGTTAACAGAGTGACTATGTTTAACAGGATAAAGGTCAATGAAAAAATCATTTTTTCAAATAAAAGTTAATTTTTGAACGAATTTTAAATATCTTCATTTTTTGTAGTGAGGGGCAACAAAATAACTCAAAAATATATGATGTTTACTTATTCATAAAAATAATACAAAATTATGGTTATGTTTTCATGCGAACGAATGACATTAAGCTAACTTTAACCTTCAACCTCCAGGGTGTAATTATATCAAATTATAAATGCAAAAATGTGTCCAAACTCAGGATCCTCTCCCTTCATCTCGCTCCATTTAAGCTACTTTTTAAAGATCGACATTATTTGGAGTAAAATATCCTTTAGCCCTGTTGTTTCGGTTGTTAGAATTTTCAGTTTCAATTTTATTGGTATTTAAAAGGCGTATCTACAAATTTGTAGGTTTTGAGTGTTGAGAGTACTTTCGAAGTAGCGATACTTAATCTTCCTTAAAGTTGTTTCTATATTTTACATATTTTAATGTAATAATTTTCTGACAAATAAATAAATCATTATTTCGGTTTTCTTTATTTTGTGCATTGCAACTTATGAACAGCCTGATTTATTTAATCATTATAATATCTTAAATTTTACAGAGATTATGTTTTTTAACTAATTAATAATTTATTTTCCTTTTATTTCAGAGCAAAACATAAGAATACTACCAGCACTTCTGAATATCAAAGAACACTTCAATCACGTATTATTTATTTATTTACATCATTTAAAATGTTATAATAAACATTACTGTACTGGATACAGTGTATTTTCACAATAAAAAAATTAATTTTTTTTTTGGAGTTATCAATTTGTCGTTAAAATTTGCTCATGTTGGCATCTAACATTCATTCCAACCATATTTTTGGAAGAAAAACTACAAAAGTAAAAAAAAAAAAAATTAAAGTGACTTCAATATTATAGTGCAGTTATATTTCCATTATTGCTTATAAAGGACAAATAGAAAATCTGAAATGCTCTTCAGTGAAGAAACGGTATATAACGTAAATAATTTTAACACCTGGTTGAGAAAAACTCTATTAATTAATGAAGTCTTCATTTTAGGGAATTATTTCAGAACTGAAAGATTACACATATTTGCCAGAGACTTTGTGAGAGAGAGTTACATGCTATGAGAAAAAGAATTAAAAAAATCTTTGAATAATAGTCATTATCATAAAAATTCAGTTTCGAATCTGGAATTGCGAGTTCAGGCTTCAAATTAGTTATGTATGATTATTACCCTATTCTACTAATGGCGAAATGCTTAAATATGATTAACAAACATACAGTTTAAAAGTAGCACAACAAAGTCGTAACGACGTTGCAAACTCGTCGCTGATGTCGTTGCAAAAACGTTGCAATATGTCATCTTTAAGACGCCCAGATGTCCGCGAACATCCACTGTTTTGCAACCGTGCAAAGACGTCTTTATTACGTCTTTGCAGATGAGGTTTTTGTCGCAGAGACGTCGTTATTGCGTCTTTCGCAGGTGATATTTTGGTTGTGAAAGCACAGTATCACGACATCTTAAAGACGCCTAAACGCAAATTTCCACCTTTTTGCAACAGTTGTGAAACTGTCGTTATTATGTCCTTGTGTTACATATTGATTTATGCAGAAAAATAAGCTTAATAATTAATATATTTTTCTTCTTTTTTAAATTTTTGTATTCCTTGTATTTTTCTAAAGTTAAAATATTTTATCATTTCTTTAAAAACAGAACATAATACAATTTTTTCTCTTTAGATTAAATATGCATTATAATAGCCCTAATTATTTTCAGTACTTTAAAGTTTTTAAATTTCTCTTTAGACTAAATATGCCTTAACTATTTTCAGTACTTTAAACTATATTATTTAAATAACTTAAATTCTAAGTTACGATTATTTAAGATTTCATCATTTTTTTCCTTAAGTGAGAGTAAGTATGAAAGTGGTTATTATAAATATGTAACAATAGTAGGTTTTAAGTAAAAAAAACTCAATTAGACATAAATAAAAGTAGAAATATATATGTGGGTAAAAAAAAGAGCGTTTCTGATAACAGCATTATCACATTTATTTCTGTTAAATCTCAGAGACATTGAAAATTGCCTCTGTCATGATAAAATAGGAAGGGGTTCTTAAGGTAACATAATTAGTATTTTACCTGAACTCAAGTATAAATAAATTTATTCGCGTTTCACAGTAAAAAATATAACCATTAACTTCTATATCTCCAAGATATGCAAATGGAAGACAGTATAAAGTAGTTAATAAATGTGATAAAAAATATACCTAAATCTAATAACTTCCCATATTCATATCAAAAATGAAATAATAACCTAACAAACAACATACATGACAGCACTATTTAAGAAAAAACATGAACTAGTAGTGTTTGAAAGTATAAATAGCAGAAGGAAGGTAACATAACTAAAATTTCCAGTTAGTAATAAAAAAAATATTTGTGTTTTTTAAATAGTAAGCAATTAAAAGTGCAATAATTATGGATTGCAGTATTTACACTAGTAATGCTGATAATTCTTAACACCATTTCTTTCGATCATATGTTATTTTTAGTTTCTACATTTTAGAATAGTGGTAGATTACAATGATTATGATTATTTCATGCACTTTTTATAATCAATCACTTTCCTTTTTGTTACTGTACAGAAATAATTGAAATAATATAGTATACAATAGTAAGCTAAGTATGTTAAAGTAAGCTCTTCGTTAAATAGCACACGATGAAATTTTTTGTTTCTATTTATTATGAATTTCTTTGCTATCACAAGCACATAAAAAGAAAGCGAAGAAAATATAATATACTTAAATTTAATAAAAAATAAAACCTAATTTCCAACATTCATTTATTGAGATAATCTAATAAACATACATAACGGCAATAGAATATACTTAAATTTAATAAAAAATAAAACCTAATTTCCAACATTCATTTATTGAGATAATCTAATAAACTTACATAATGGCAATAGAATATACTTAAATTTAATAAAAAATAAAAGCTGATTTCCAACATTCATTTATTGAGATAATAATTCATTTATTGAGATATGAGAGATATAATAAACATACATAACGGCAATATTTAAAAAAAAACGTGAATTACACAGTGTTTGGAAGAATAGATACCAAACGAAAAGCAATAAAACTGCAATTTGCAATCAATAAAAAATATTTAGTGTTTTTTAATATTACACAATTAAATATCGCAAAATTATAGATTACAATATTTCATAGAAATGCTTAGGTTTCCTTAACACTAGTTTTTCGATTATACATTTCATACACTGTTTAAAATCATTCACCTTTTCTGCACAAAAGACTATGTACTATAGAATGTGCATTATTATTAATTTTAATAATTAATTAATTGCTTATATACATATGACTAATTTATATTCAGCAGTCATATTGTCATAAGTACCGGTACCAGTTCAACAATATCTTTGTATTTTGAAAATGATGAACATACTATAATAGCTTGAATTGTTGTTGCTTCTGTATTGATTTCATTTTAAGCACACCAGAAAGTGGCTTACCGTTGTATGTTATTTTTGGTTTTATACGAATTAATTCTGAAAGCCAACTTTTTAATATGAACACAATAATCGATTAATTTGAATGATATGCGATATAGCACTTATAACGTTATAACCGAAGCACAAAACTAGTAAGTTTATCCAAATATTGCATTGTTGAAACCACAGCGATTGGAAACAGACACTATTACCACAGGGACACTATTTTAAGAACCACAGAGCCACTATTTCACGAACACTATATTCCACAGACCACTATAGACCACAGAGACACTATTTCACGAATACTATATTCCACAGACCACTATAGACCACAGAGACACTATTTCACGAACACTATATTCCACAGACCACTATAGACCACAGAGACAGGTGACAGGTGAATGCAGGGCCCGGACACCCGGCGGCTTAATATGACAAATCGGGTGTCGTCCGGTACCCGCACCTATTTAGAACAACACAACCCTGGCGACTTCCTGAAAGGGATGCATCGGAAATATATTAATGGAAAATATGTGGTATTGACGTGGTCAAACAAGGGCGTGTGCATATATATGCTTCAGTATATAATTAATAAAAAATTTCATACATAGGCACATTGGTAGTATAGGTACATTGGATACATATGTATATTGGTCTAAGTGGTTAATGAGATAGGCAAACAATAAACACTTATACATTAAAAGAAATGGAACACTGACGCAACTGGCGCAATAATGCAGAAGATGACAATTAATGAATACACGTAATCGTGTGTCATCCTATATGACTATACATAAACTACTAGAAATGATATGCATAAACACATACAAATGATGGCGATAAATGAAAACACATAATCATACATTATTTATACTGGACTATACACACATCAATAAAAATGATACATACACACGTTGACAGAAATGATACACTGAGAATGAAAATTGTGTATCAGTGTGAATGATGACAATTAAAGGTTACACATATTCGTGTATTACCTTACTTGGCTATACATATATATTAGTACAAATGATACACTTAAACACTTATACATTAATGGAAATGAAATACTGAAAATGGCACTTATACATTATACTATAGATGAAGAATAATGGTAACACGTAATCGTGTATCATCCTAAGTGGCTATACATACAGTAATAGAAATGATACACTTATACATTAATATACATTTATAACATGGTAAATGATACATGTATACATTAATAGAAATGGTACACTGACAATGATATTTTCACATTAATACGAAAGATGACAAGTAATGATAACACAAAATCATGTATTATCCTACTGCGCTATGCGTACATGAATAGAAATAAGACATTTTATGCACCTGTAAGTTGACAGAAATGTTGCACTGAGTGTAATGCCTGTGCATCATTGCGAGAGATGACAATTAATATTTACACATAATCGCGTATCGTCCTACGTGGCTATACATACATTAGTAGAAGTGCTACACTTACATTAATACTAGAAACGACACACTGAAGATGGTACTTGTGGATAAATATGAAAGATGACGATTAATAAAAATACATGAACATAAATTATCCTACATGGCTATGTATACATTATTAAAAATGAAACCTTTAACACCTATACATTAATAAAACTGATACACTGAATTGTGTATTAATGCGAAAAGTGACAATTAATGATTATACACACTCGTGTGTTATCCTACATGGCAATATAGACATTAGTAGAAATGATACGCTTAAACACTGATATATTACTACAGAAGATGCACTGAAAATGGTACTTGTACAGTAAAACGATACATGACGATTAGTCATAACACAAAACCCTGTGTTATTCTACATGGCTTTACATACATAGACAGGGATGGTACACTTAAACGAATGATCTATGCGCATTGGATACAAAGTGCGTTGATCTAGATAGTTAAAACTAAAGTAATTGTATGCAACAATTATTGGAGGTGCACTGGTGATTAATGAAATAATTGAATGACAATTAATAACATAGGTACAGATAAGTAAGAATAAGTGACAATTAATGAAGGCACGATACATAAGCACATTGCCATAGGTATATTGGATATAAAGGTTGGTTATGTGGAAAGGATAGGGTTGTGGTTAAGCCGAATCACACATGTCCTGGCCTAATGCTTGCAGTCTGTCCATAATACTTTTGAGTTTTTTAAGTACAGCTGGTTGGCGAATAAAGAATCTTTTATAGGCTGGATCTGTGTCGTAAAACGGCATGTGCCACTCTCGTGTTA